ATAGTGTATCTTTTACCATGAATAAAAACCATTTTTTTATACGCCTGATTATGAATAGTAGAGTATTTATGAGTTCTTTAGTTTTTAGTAGATTTTTATCTTTCAGTTTTGTTGTGTGTTGTGCTCTTAATAAGTTTGGAACTTGCTAAATAGTTAGGAAAATAAGAGTATTAGTACTATTAGTGTGTCTGGGCACATAGTAAAGGATATTTGTGTAATACTTTCTGGTGCCGTTTGTGATAATAAAGTACTCAGTTCATTTCTATTAATGCTTACAGTCCTCCGCTAAATTGGTACGGTTGATACTAAGTCTCTCCCTTGACTGTAACAATATATAGAAATTTCTAAATCTGCCATATAGTACTGATTATCATGGTCTCAAATTGATGTATGTTTGATCAACTTTTATAGATTGCAGCCCACCTATACAATCAACTGAAAATAGCCTGACTATAGTTCAATTGTACATTGATTTTTTAGTGAGAACAGATATAGTAACCAATATTATGAAAATAATATATTTATAGTGAATCTTTGGCCAAAAAAATGCATGCAATCAGTGATCTACAACTTTAAAGATACAATAAATATTGTAAAAAAGCCATTTATATAAACCCGTATATAAAGCTAACTAAGCAATAAGTATTATTATTTTAATTTTCGGGTTATTATATATAAATTCACCTAATATTTATTGGCTATACTCATTAGAAGCCTCTCGTAATGCAATTTTCTATCCGGTTTTGGTAATTTCTACTAATTCAAGTTGTTTATCAGTTAATTTGCATATCCGCTTAACTTGAATAGCTTGATTTTGAAATTCTGATAAGCATGCTAAAATTTCCCTATTCACATTTTCAGCTTTGTCTATTTTTGTCAAAAATTCTTCGAGTTAAGAAATATATTTTGACGAAGTCGTTAATGATCCTTGTGATAAATTAGGCAAAATCAGAAATGGTATAAAATAAGGTTGTGAAGAGATAGAATGTGATAAATGTGGAGAGAAATTTGCTGGTATATATAAAGGAATATTTGGTAATGCTTGTAATGGAATATTAGGGTAATGTGAAAAAAAATTAGTTGATAGTTGTAATGAAAAATTTGAAAAATTTGTTGGCATTTGTGAGGGCATTTGCGAGAGCATTTGCGAGGATATTTGCAAGGGCATTTGTGAAGGCATTTGTGAGAGTATTTGTGCAGAAAGTTGCAAGGGTATTTGTGAGGGTATTTGTAAGGATAATTGTAATGGTGGTTGTGAAACTAGTTATTGTAATAGTTGTAATGAAAGTTGAATTGAGCTAGATATTCCTCTAGTTTTAGGTGAAGATGTAAATATCGCATGACTGGGTGGTGTGTTCATATCCGCTAATCTGT